GCAAAATGGAAACCGTGGATTAGATTCGTTTCGATATAAAGCCAGATGTTTGTGATTGGGGAGGGAAAGGGAAAGGGAGGACAGATGTGAAGGATATTCATCGGTAGTTTTGGGGGTAAGGATAGGAACATATATCTCGCGCAGAAATATCAAAATTCAACTTCAACAGGCTAGGCAAAGGTATTGTGTCTGCAGATATTGACAACAGAAAAGGTTGAATCACTGTTATGCTGAAAATTTATCACAAAGAAGTTGAAGTTGGAGCTGTAAATTTACTGTTTTATCATTGAAAAACTACAAGACTGCTTTTCTAGTATTATTTTCTTTCTCTCCTTGCTAGTAAAACCGCATATCAGTCAGTTTGCCGAGTTGAAGCTAGAGGTATCCAATACCTACAGTCAAATTGCGGCGCTGTTACAAGATAGATATCCTCACTAAGGGATCCAAGATACTCAAGAAAACCATCGTGTGAATCATTATGCATTTGCAATATCCTTTACATATCGCTACCGCTCCTATCACATGGTGACCAAATGACGGCCTACAAGCAGTGTCGCCGGACTTGGATGACTACTATACCGCCGGTATATCCTCATACGTAGAGAAACCAATGCCATATGAAGGGAAAAAACTGCGAAGCCTCAAAGTTCAATCTGGTTGTCTATACTCACCAAACCGTACCAATCCTCGATTTCATTATCTTCTTGAGTTTTCAGAGGGGTTCACACGTGGTTGGACAGAGTTCCTCAGTCTTCAAGATGATATCGGAGGTCGACGATGTTGGTGAGAATTGACTATTATCAGTCATATCAGAGCCTAACTCCGTACAGGAATCTAAGTCTTAATCCAAGTCAGATTCGTAGCTTCTCTTATCCTAGAGAGGCAGAAGCTTAGAATATGATTTCGTTCGAGCGAGATAGGGCTAGTTTGGATACACAAATCCGATCAGATTCTATCGAATAATCTGTTCATTTTGATAACGGATTTTGTATTTCTATTTGAATAGAAAGTGACTTGAAATAATGGATTTTATGTAATTTTTTATAAATCAATGGAATATTTTATAGATCTTCTAAAACTTTAAATTTATTTTATATTTCAATTTGTATTTTTTATTAATTTATATAAAAAAATAGAAAACGTAGATCGAAAATAATAATTAGAAAAAGTAGTTATTGTTTTAAGTTAGTCGAAAAATCTATGAATTTATAGATTTTTATAGACTTTATAACTTAAAAATTTAAGTTATATTTCTTATAATTTTAGATTATATAAGTCTAAAACTTTAAAGTCTTTTTAAATTAAAGTTTAAATTTTAATTTCAATTAAAAGAAGCTGTTCTTATATTTGCTTTAATTAAATTAAAGTTATTCTTATATTTGTTTAAACTACTAATTATTTAAATAATAATAATAAGTTTAGAATGTTTATATACTTAAAATTCGAATTTCTTTTATTTAAAAGTATGTATATGTATTATATATGTAATTTTGTCTTTTTCTTTTTATAGATTTTTTACCAGAATTAATTTACAAACAGAAAAACGAAATATAGGAATCTGCCTTTTTAGGTTCAAAATGTATCACTACGGAATCCGTCGTAGCAGAAAAAAGCAGATTATTTGGCGGATTCTGACCGGAATTGACATCCAAACTAGCCCATAATGTGCTTGTCCAGCGCGACAATTGGTTGCTGATCCGAGGTCTTTGAACAGATTCGTAGTTACTCCGGGCGTTCATAAGTTATCATATGCTAGGGTGGCTCGACCCAAGGAGAAAAGTGGCCATGGGACTAAATACCGAGGCCGATTTGGTCGATATGACCAAAACCCCAAAAATAGATTTCTGCCTGAAGCAAAAAAAATTCTAAAATTTGTATGGTGTGGCCATAGAAAACTTGGAAAAAATATTTGTACTAATATGTTTTATTAGTGAGTAGGTCATATTAGTGAATGGATTACTTTCATTTCAATTTACTTATTCAAAACCATATTATTCAATAATAATAAAATCAATTGATTGAAATTATAAAGATTCTAATAATCTAAAATCTATTATATCATTTTGATAAGTTCTTATATTATATTCAATCTTTTTATACTTACTATAGTATTGATTAGAAAATACTTTTCTATTAGAATTTCTTCCTTTTTGATACTTGTTGTATTGAATTTGAACATCAACTTCTTATTGAAATAATATATTAAGAATCTTTTGCCCAATAAATACTCATTCTTAACATAATTAAGTTTTTTTTGTATATTGACATTTACTTAATACCTTATTTACTATTTAAAATATATAAATCTCTATATTTAAAAATGTATTTTCATAAGCTAATTGTTACAGGAGCTGCCTCTAGGGTCACGTGGAAGTGTCTAGAGATCTCTCAAGGTGGTTTAGACTAGACTTCAAGTAGGAATTCAATAAGGTTGTAACTGGTTGCAATTCTCGTAACTATAGTAATGAAACTAATGATTGTTCTTGAGCACGAAGCTCTACATTGTAATGAAACCCATTCCCTTATATAGACCTTCGTTCTCTATTGTCCCACTGCTTCCCACTGTGTCCCACTGGGCCTTACTCAGTGAGACTCAGTGAGACACCTTGGTCAGGTGATATTTAATTAATCTAGTCATGTGACGACCTCAGTCGTAACATAAAGTCTATATTCTTTGAATTATTAAAAGTTAATAAAAATGAATATATTAATTTTTATATATAATATTTATCAATATTTTATTAACTAAAATATTATTTTATATATATAAATTATTTAAAGTTTTTTTAAAAAAGATTTAATATAAAATTCAATATTAATATAATATAAAAAGCTTAATAATATAATAATAATAATAATTATAATCTAATTTTAATATTTATTTTTATAAGATTATTTATTCTTTAATGATTTTTCAAAATAATTTTAAATAATATTAGTAATTAATTATAAAGATTTTTTTAAAAAAAACTAGATTAAATATAATAAATCAAGAAAGTTTTTCAATTATTTTTATAAAATAAAATAAGAAATAAGGAAATATATTTTTCATTAATATAATAATAATTTTCAAAGCTTTTATTGTTAATTCTTAATATATTCTCTTAATATATTAATTTCCAATACTTTTTTTAAATTAAAAATAATCTTTAATTTCTTTTCTATTTTTAATAACTTTATAAAAAAATGAAATAAAATAAGCTTCAATTATAAAAAAGAACTTTATTTCTTTATTTACTTTAAAAAACCTTAATATTATATTATTTTTAAAGTATTATATTAGATATTAATTTATAATTGATTTTGAATATTTATTAAATATTCTTATATATATTTATATAATAAATTAAAAATAATACACTAATACCAACACATTAAGATATCTAAATATATATAAATAACTTCTACATAATATAATAAAAACTTTATCTTTCTTTTATATTATATACATATCAAAAAATATATTTCAATATATATATAAATTAGAAATATATATTAATATCTTTATAAATTTCGATTGTAATAAAAACTAATTTATTAACTAATTAAATATTATTTGATTTAAAAATTTAATATTTTCTATAAATAGATTAAAATTGTTATATATTTATAAATATTTTTAGAATTTATAATTTAAAGTATATTAAATAATATATTTTTAAAATAAATATAAAATATTAATATAAATATATTTTATAATTTTAAATAAAAAAATAAATATTATATTATAAAATAAACGTCTTTTTTCTTTAAAAATAAATATATAATAATCTTTTATTATATTCCTGTAGATAATTTAATTTTATTTAATCTTTTAGAATATTAAATTAATAATAATCTTATTTATATAATTCTTTCAATAAAAACTTTTTATAAAGTTTAAATAATGAATATATATTTCTAATATATTTTATAAAAATATTATAATTATCAATTTAAAAGCTTTTTTTATTTCTTTATTATTAAATAATAGAATAAAATCATATATAATTATTTTATTTTTAAATATAAAATTATTATAATTAATTTTAAACTTTTAATTAAATCTTCAAATATTAAAGTATTTATTAATAATTCTAATTTCAATTTGAATGTTGAATTTAAAAAAAGATTATTTAATATTATAAATATTATATTATTTATTATATTATTTATTATATTATTTATTATATAAATGAAATTATATAAAATGAATCAGAAAAAAATAAAGAAAGTTTAACATTTATAAATGTTACGGAGGTACCCGCACCGCAACATGGATTATAAGATAAACCTAAGGCCTTGGTGTTGGGACCTACGGAAACAGCGCTGTAGGGACAATCGGCTAGAGAGCACAGGTTAGATAAGCGGTAGCATCATTATAGATCACGGGATGGACATCACGTGATCAGGAAACCGACTTGTCGAAATCGGCTTTACGGTAATCGACTTGTCGATTCATGAGGTACGAAGATCTATATAAGGGAATGAGTTTCATTATAATGTAGAGCTTCGTGCTCAAGAACAATCATTAGTTTCATTACTATAGTTACGAGAATTGCAACCAGTTACAACCTTATTGAATTCCTACTTGAAGTCTAGTCTAAACCACCTCGAGAGATCTCTAGACACTTCCACGTGACCCTAGAGGCAGCTCCCGTAACAATAAAGAATTAATATATTAGTATTTATAAAGTCTAAAAGGAAGAAAGAGTATTGAATTATAAAAGTAATATAGTAATAAGTAATATTGATTTTTACTCACATACTCCTGAATACTAAATACACTTTTTCATTAGGTAGAAATCTATTTTTAGGGTTTTGACCATATCGACCAAATCGGCCTCGGTACTGAAGACGAACGGCGGAGTGATTTTTCGCTGGGGGTTTATGAATTACTTTTGATTGGATGGATGCTGGGGCACCGGCTTTTTGGGTAGAAGGCGAAGCGGTCTGTATACCGCGACTTGTGATGTAGCGACTTAAGCATCATAAGCCTGCTTCTGTGCCTGAATCTGTCGTTATTGGGCGGGGGTAAATTTAGGCGGTAAGTTGGAAGCAGCAGTAGGCTGAACAGCCTGAGGAATTTTAGCAGTCATTCCTTGATAGCATACGACTATTTCGTGGTGAAAGGTTACTCCCATAAGTGGATTGTTCAGCCTTAGTAAGGTGTTCAAATTCCTGCGGGCCGCCGAGAGACTACAAGAGATGCTTCTAGACGTGTTCATCGTCTTGTACCAGGGAAAGAGTCGTTTGTAATTATCGTTGCGGAGGACTTCTATGTCGCCACCATCGCTCACGCCCCTGAAATAGGTATAAATGTTTTTAACCCTACGCATCAGAGTGCATGGTTAGTCTGGAGCTGTATCGAGATGATGACAAGTTCGTTGTGCGACTACTTGCAAATAAGTTCTTTGTTATACTTCTGTCGCTGGATATCATCGATCGCAGTCAAGGTATCTTGAAGTGGATAGTGTACAGGATTACTGGTTCCTGGACATCGAAGGGGTATTATAATTGGACCTTTAGCCATGGCTGTGACCTGTTTATATTTCTTGATAGATTTTTCAAGGCTACAAGGTGATCAATTAAAGACAGATGGAGAAGACAAACATGTTCTCTTCAGTGCCAACTTACACCCAGGGAGGTCCCTTCCATTATGACTAATAGAAAAATGAGTTGATGTAGTAAATAAGTAACGGTATCAGAAATCAAGATGCAATTCAATCACTCTGCAGATCACATAAGAAACTGGTATGTTATTTCACAGTGTACGAGATGTTAATAGATACTTTGATCCTAGTTATTCGAACTTCCAACTATTGTTTGTCATTTGAAACTCTGAAGAGCCTCCTCGAAAGGAATCACAGAACGATTGGAGGGGTTGCTTATGATGAAAGGTCACAGATCATTTTCTCCTCTTGAATTCATCATTTCAATCTCAATTATTGTCTGACACTTGAGATTGCAAAGAGTCGTTCTTATTCTTTTATGCTCTCCCGCATTAGAAGCAAAGCATGCTTCTGATGAAAGTTAAGCTTTGTTTTAATGTCTTGTATCTATTGCACGAGAGTCAGTGGTTGTCATCTTCTTCCGAGGATGGCTTTGAATACCCGAAAATACATTCTGAAGAGGAAACTGCATTCTCGTACGTCCCTCTAGCTTGATATCATTGACATGTGTTCCATGAAGAAGGAACATCCCTCCAAATTAGTATCATTGGTACTTTTCCTCATGAAGAAGGAACAGATACCGCAAATTGTCCCACTTCCACAACAACAATGCAGCTCTCGTCTCATCAATCTCATCTCATCACTGTCATCTTGTCTCAAGTAACGAAGGCATCCGAGTATCAAGACCGATAGCCAAATCCTTCATTTGGAATTATCAGATATCTACAATATGAATACATGAGGTGCCTGTGCCTCGACCCGCCATAATTTGTCCTCAAGCTTGAGAAGTATAAAATCTCAAAGGCGCTGGCATTTTCGCTCACCTATGTCAAGATAAGACAACAGCAAGGTGCAAGGACATGTAATGATTTCTTTGCATCGATAATTGAGGTGGGATTTGTAATTCAGAAGTTATATTGACAGCATTCCAAAGTTTGCTAGAAGCTAACCCTCGAGTCAAAACATTCTCGAGAGACCATGACAGAAACGCATGAATACCACCTCGATATCAAGCAGTAAGAGTGGTGATGAATACCGCAAAGACAAAGTGATGACGAATGGGTAGTTCTTTCCAACTTTTATTTTGAAGATTCTGTCTGTTCATTCGGATTAAATGATGTGAAAAGTATGCACGAGAATTTAACTTACTTAAACAAGGAGATTGACTTTGCGTAAGGAATAGAATACTCCACAAGCTGCACTTTTAGCCCCTCCCTCACATATTCTCTTGCGAATGTTGTTCCTCTAGCTATTTCCGTATTCAATATCTTTACGTCTCATATCTCCATACCATTCTGATCTATTCTTCAACCTCATAACTTCTCGCTTGAACACTCGAATCATCATCCCTGGCTTGAAAATGGGATTGTGATTAGTAGAACAAAGACAGAATCAAGCGAATAAAGAACAATTAAGCTGTTTGTTCCTTGAATCGTTATGGATAGACCGAAAGCGACACCTGAAGTAACGACCACCATGGAATCTCTCAAATCGAGAAAATATTACGTCGCAATAACATACGCGACCTGAAATGATTCCTCTTCCGCAAATATAACGAATGAAATCCTAGCAAGAGCTGAAAAGCAGTGTATCAAGTCTTCGCACTTGCAAATAGAAATTCCGTGGCGGATCTTGGGGCATATCTACTCCTAGAAATACTACTAGGTCTTTACTTTTCCAACACTCGTGAAGCAGGTATCCATGTTACTTCTCGCAAGTCCCAAAAACGTATCGAAACCATCTTATATGTGGAAGCGAACAATGGCAAAGACAACTGCGCAACAAAATGACATATATCATATCTTTGGTGGACTAGCTTGAGAGATATACATCAGAATTGCACGAGTATGAAAGGACAATAATGCTTGGAAAACAAGAAGCTAAAGACTATGAATGGTATCATTTTGAGAACTATCGTTCCATCATAACGTTGAACATAAAAAACGAGGCAAATGCCCCGAGTATCATTCATCTAAGTCTACCTCAGACCCCCATTTTGTCCCACTTCAACATCAACCTCCACTATCGGCTTATCATTCCTCTCCAACTCTCTTTGTCTCTGTACACTCTCATCCATATGATCCGCAAAGGCGAAAAGTGCCTGACCTGCCTCTCCAAGATCATTTACGCTTTGGGTTTTCTCCATCTCATCGTCTTTCTTCCCTGACCAACTATCAGACATCTGTAGTAAACCCTCATGTAACGCATAACCCGCCACCAATCCGACAGCCGCAACTAAACTTCCCGCTGTGATAAAATTTTTCCAGATGTTACCCGTATCAGCATCTTTTTCCTTTTCGCCACCATACCGTCTCATACGATTATCTTTCCTCTGTTGTCCCACAATCGGTAACGAATCTGCGAGGCCCGCCAAAAATACGCCTCCGATATTTAGTATACCACGAGCTTCAGGCGCTTGCCAAGGTAAACTCCCTTTCTTCTGTTGCACTGCATTTGCATTCCCGCTATTGCCAGATTTGGTAAGCAGCGCATCTTCCAAACCAACCACACCATTCCACGCCTCATCTTTCAGCTCTTCAACCCATTCAACCAAATCTGGAAACTTTTTCCTCATCGTCTTTTGCAGCCATGGTTGTGGTAACTGCGGATACAGCATCAGAGACATAAAACCTAGTGCTAGACAATCTAGACTCGACAATTTCTCATGTGAAACAAGATATTTTTTATTTCCTTTTAGTTCTCTAATTGCAGAGAAAAAGTCACTCGCTAATGCATCGAGACGGATTTGCGCATTAGTTTCAGGAGAAGCTTTTAGTAAGCTTGAGACGGATTGTTTGCCCCTCCTAAGAGATTCGGGTATGATACTGGGTTGGTCTCGTGATCTATCATCTTCTGAATCTATGTCTAGAGCATCTAGACCTAGATATTCTGTTCTTTTTTTAGCTTCCGTTCGGAGATGAGGCGGTGTAAGATATGGCAAGGGAAAACATTGTATCGTATTGAAAATCGGACGAGTGATTTCGGAATAATTCTTCGAAGAAACATAGAGTGAGAGATCTAGTAACGGTTGTCCATGCATTTGGATAAAAGCAGAATATCTAATCGACCAATCAATAAGTTTCGCACCATAATAAATATAAAAATCTCTCCATCCGTTTTTTCTTCGGTAGTACTTACGCTGTACAATCGGCCCCTTCTTGCCCTCGTAAGCCCGCATCTAGATTCCATTTTCCAGATGAATATTGTGTGAGAAAATCGATGATGCTTCTGTATCCACCCACCCAATGAATGTCCCCATTTCTGGTATCTTTCAAGGCAGGTAATTCATCTGCAGGATTATATCAATATCGAACTTCTCCTCTTTTGACCACTTAGGGATTGATTGTGTGAGGGGTAGAAGGATGCATTTTCTGCGTCACGTACTCGTGGGACTTAGGGTTGGATCACTACTAGCAACAAGGGACCACTGACCACGTGGGATCACCTGCTGCATGTATGCAATAGTAGCTAAGCATTGTGCATCAATGGAGGGTAAACCGAATGATGGACCCCAAACATGTAGTTCAAGAACCATGATTGATGTGTGTGATATAATACGGAACTTATGCGTGGGTTGCTGTGCCAAGTATGAAGTGGGTGTGGTATGATTTTCGAGCACGATTTGAGCTTTGAAGTAAGAGTCGAGGGTTCAAGGTAAAAAGATGATGAAATTGAGGAATTTACTTGATTGAAATCTGCAAGTCGTCCAAAAGAATCAATTATGCCTTCTGCTTGTCCTTGTAAAAGCTATTACAATTGCGGTGAGTCGATGCAAGTAATCTGATATGTATCAAATTATACATATGCATACATACATGCATATATTGTAAACGGTGAAGGGAAAGTTGGCACCCAGATTGGAATTGGTGTTGTGGTTGATGTTCGTTGTTGATGTCGCCATTAAAGTTCACGTTAGAGTTGTCGAAAAAGATTGATCAATTTGATAGAAATTCCCCTCCATTGTTGCCAAGCCTTTCCCTCGCGCTCCATCCCGTTCCTGAGGAAAATTACCCGTGTCCACGTGATATGGTTTTATCTCGTCAATTCTCCCCATTTCTCAGCTACTACTCGGTGATACCCAACCACCACATAACCAAACATATAACCACCAGAATTATATAATAGATGCATCTAGCTAACAGCCTATCGGGATATATGCTTACTCTCCTCTTCACACAGCACACACATCTACACAGAAAACAACCCCCAAGGAAGCACAACATCAACGTCGCATCCGTCTCGTCGTGTTGCTGTGCCACAATCATACAGAGAAGAATGTTGAGGACTAATTTCTACTTTAACCTATCTACGACCTATCTAGTGCCTCTCTAGTGCCTCTCTAGTGCCTGTCTACTAGCTATCTACTACCTGGTCACCAATACTGTCCAAGCCATCTCAACCTAGCAACCTTAACCCACACCACCGGATTTTGGTATGTCACTATCACACCCAATATTGGTCTTGTCGAGGTATAATGAAGATACCAAGCCTTCTTCCCCTCATCTTCGTCAGTCCGAATATGCCGACTTTACGAGTTCACTACAAGTTGTCTATATAAAGAATATATACTAGGTATATAAGTTGGATTAGGTTTTCGTCTCAGAGAAGTCATAGCTTCTTTGCATCAGCTGGTTACACTGTCACTACAGTATGGTGAGACATATCCATCTTCTTTTTCCCTTCTTCTCAGGAACACTTTCTCGAAATGTACGCCAACCCGTTCTTAATCTTTCTGCTGTTGAGCCAAGGTATATATCTCAGATATCAGAAACCCTCTTCATCATAATGAACCACTGAATATAGAAATTCCTTCTCTTTCAAAAGCAAAAAATATCTGTACAATGGCTAGGGGCCTAGTCAG